TATACGTATATTTATACAATGTGTCTTAATGATACTGATAAATAAGTATAGAATATTTTAACGATTTTAACTGCTCTCAAAGTGATTTTATTTTGAAAAAAATCATTATCACGTTAAAAGATATGAAATATCTTTAATGAAATATGATTTCAAGAAGGTATATTATGATATCTATAAACATACGACACAATTCTTTGACATGACTTTACTTTCGCTGACGATATTTTTTCTCTTTTCTTCTATACATTTAACATCTAAATCTTTGAAATAAAGTTTTAACAGAATCTCTCTCTGTTAAGAATAATATCAATCTTGCAGTGATTGTCTATAATATAATATATTTACGTAAAAAGTAGTTAATAAGATTACGCCTGTGATCAATTTTTATTGCAAAAAATTTATTTCAAAATTCAATTTTTATTGCAAAAAATTTATTTCTACATTTAGAGAGTGAGTAAATTTGTAATATAGTAGGAAAGAAATAACGCTTAAAACGTTCATCGATATGAGATATGAGATACTAATCTTCATAATGTCTTGATGTACGCTATTTATCGATTATATTGTACTTATCCATTATAAAATTTTATTCATTATTATCGCTGTATGCGACAGTTTTATTTTTCTTTAGTCTGTTATCTCAATCTTTTTCTCAGTATATGTATGCATTTTTTAATAAGTATGAACTTGAAAGTAAGGGTTTTAATTTATTCATTTCCGCAACTGCTTTCTTTATTTTTACTGATATATCTTTTGAATTGCTTCTTGTACACAAATGTTATTCCAATTTGTTTAATAATCTTTCTTTGAAGATCTTAATTTTCTGTATCTTGTAATTTTCGTAAATATATACTTCGTAATTTTTTAAATATTTATGAAATCTAACTCTATATATATTTGAGTACATTTAATAATATCATAAAAAGTCTACAATTTTTATGATATAAAACAGATGAAAGGTGTAATATAAAAAAAATACAGATAAAACTTGTTTATTTATATACGTAATATTTGAGACTTGCAATTACGCAAGAAACTACGATTACTATCGCAGACATTTTTACACTTAATGTTCCTTGATACTTATATTTTAAATACTTTTTATTCTTCCTTAGCCAATATCACTATTCTTCTTTTGTTTGTTTAAGTATATTATATACTGAATATGACATCTTAAGAAGCTAAAGAATATATCGATATTTACGTAACATTATTAAACTCAATTATTTCTTAATAAGCCGATGGTAGAAAGTGCTTGTTTTTTCGCTGAATTCTTAGCTAAATTCTTACTATTGTATTGGCTGCAATACTGACAGGATCAGCATCGCAGACAATACGATGGAAAGAATTTAATCCATCTAGCAATTCAATAAGAAAATAAGTGTCATGTGCCGCGCAACTTTGCAGTTATAAAAAAATTTATCTCTAACCTTCACAAATGAATCTAGATTCACAGTAAGAATATGGGCACTAGAAAATTCGATTGGTATCAGGGAGCGATTCATAATCATTATAAGGTTTTCTCTTACTTTTTGATGTGCTGTTATCCAATCCATTCCGAAAATTTCATCGGAAAATTGAATGCTCTACAATAGAAATTGTCAGACAAACATATTTATATATGTAAAATATATTTCTTATTGCAACTAAGTTATATCAATGTAAAATTTAAATTAAATTTAAATTAAATGTTAAATGTTAAATTTAAATTAAAATTATGCTTTATTCTCTTTTTTATTCTATTATTGATGTGATTCTGGGATTTTGATAACAACATTTTTTTTTAGATCAAACGCATTCGATTGTGTGTGAGTGCGTGCGTGCGTGTGTATGTGTGTGTGTATGTGTGTAAAATCAGTACCTTTAATTTCACTTCATTCCCGCACCAACAATAAATAAGAATTTGCAAACACATACAGAATGTGTATAACATCAGTGGAATATATTTTGAGCTCAATGTGGTTCTTGCTAATCGATAAAGATTGGAACATACTACTAGCATACTTGCGATGAATTGAACGGCAATTATAATTTTGAACTTTTCATTCATCGTGTATGCAAATCTAGAGAAAAGAATAATATTGATATCCTTGAAATGATTATTATTGCTCATGACTAATCAAACATTACGATATTTTGAATTGAGTTAAACAATTTTTATTTAACTAATAAACAAAATTTAATATTCAAACGCGTATGATTGTAAGTAAAATATAAACAAACTCTGTATGTCTATTCGTGAGCGCGCGCTATGTAGTGTGCTCTGTACCTTAAAATTAATTAAGAGAAACATTTAAGCATATAAAATTCTATGCAAAGACTGACTTGTAGATATGATCGTGCTGACGTACACATTCACCCAAGTCGCCTCGACTGCGTAAGGATTTTCTCACACGGCACTCTAAGATCTCGATTTGGCAGTAAATATGTAGCAGCAATCCACAAATCATTATATCGCAAGCAACATTCACGATTGACGCAGCCGTTAAGCTCATTAATTGACGAAAGTACGTGAAATAATACACTGTATCGGACCATTCGAAAAGTATCCATTCTCTATACGCTAAATTTCCTTGCCGGAAATCCGTAAATAAAGATGTTAAATTCATGCAGCCACACGTTGTCTCAATAAGAACCGTGTAGATTATAGAATTGGTCCTGCAAAATGATTATGGAGACTGAACTAATTCATGATGACTTTGTTTTGTATTTTTCTCCTTTAATTATTAAAAAAAAATATTAGGTGTTGGAATTAATTCGTAGCGTTTTTTAATGAAAGAATGTTATTTATTTCACATGAGCATTAAAAAATACATTAATGAAAGTACTTCCCATCACTTGTAAAACGCTACGAATTAATTCCAACACCTAATATATTTCATACTTCTTCCATAAAATAGCAAAAAGATTTTGTTTATTTAATGTTTATTTTATTATTAAAAATCGTATCTTATATTTGCCATTTTTGTCAATTAAATTTAAAAAATGCAAAATAATTATATAAATATGTTAAAATATTATATACTAGAACTCTCTCTAATGTAAAGAGAACCATGAGACAATAAAATTAAAATATGCGAATCTTTTGATTTCTTAAATGGAAGCAACTCCTTACCGTATTATATTATTATATTTTTGTCGAATCTCAATTTCATCTGGTTCCAAAGGTCTAAATGGTTTCTCAACTAATGCGTCAGTTAATATCTCGATATTCTTGCGATTTAGCAATAAACTCAGCATCTTGCAGCAAGCAATGACCATGGCTAGCATTATATAAAAAGTATCCGTGAAATCGTCCGCATTATTAACATTCAGGATAATATCCATGAGTTGTGGCAACATGAAAGTGAGCAATAGTAAGCACACAAAAATTGTATATACATTATACACTGTCCGTTTCCATAATGAAGACCAGGAGACTGGTGGCCGGCATCCTGCTATTGTCAGGATTTTCAGTGGAAATTGCATAACTTGCATTTCTTGAAATATCTTTTATTCGTTCTCTAATTTAAAATAGAACACTTATTATATGTATACTATATATAATATGTACTATTGCATATGTCTTATACAAGAGACATAATTATGAAAGATACGGAAAATATTATATATTTAAGCTAAAATTTTTTAGATAAATAAACTTAGATGCTTTTATTTCAAAGAACTGTTTAAAATATTTATAGGAAAATTTTAATAAAAATTTAAAACATAGTGTTTAAATTTTATTTTTATATTTTAATCTTATATATATTTCTTTTATCTTTAATAAACGCAAGATATTGTTGTGTAGAAGACAAAATAATCCAGATATATTTAACACTGTTTATTGTGGATGATTTATACACTTATATCTAGGCGACGTATCAGCCTTGCCTTTGTATGAACACTAGGTTTCGTATTGTTTACTGGAAAACTCGGCTTCGTTCGCTTTCTTCTCGCTGACTCGATTAACTCTGAGGGACACTAAAGATTAAAAGGATGCCTATAATTATATAGTGATTTTTGTAGTCAGTTGCGACCAACCGTTGTCATAGTTATCAAATTAGATACATGGATTGGTCGTATTATTTTTCACGTGAGATAAGGGGTACCAAATACAATTACCCGTTTCTACAATCTTATGCTTATTTTGATGAAGTACTGTATATATTAGGTGTTGGAATTAATTCGTAGCGTTTTACAAGTGATGGGAAGTACTTTCATTAATGTATTTTTTAATGCTCATGTGAAATAAATAACATTCTTTCATTAAAAAACGCTACGAATTAATTCCAACACCTAATATATTATATATATATGAGCGTGTGTAGTATAGTAGTGGACCTACTTTTTTACAACAATTTGTGACACGCAACATTTTATATTGTAAATCTAAGATTGGTAATTGAATAAACTTTAATCACTTGCATAATTAGCTAATTTATTCAATGGATATTGTGTAAATAAAATAAAATTGCGCAGAATTGCATTTTATTCATTATCTTTAGAAAATAATATTTATAAATGACTTACAGAAATAAAAAATATTAAGCAATGTAAACATTATACATTGATTTTAAAGCAATTTTTGCGGAACTTCAACAAATCTTACATGTCTATAGACACGTAACGTTACTTTCTGCATTGTTCGCCTCTTTGTAGTCCATGGCGGAGAGCCACACATGTCATCATGATAATTATATGTATACGTAACTTGTAATATATTCTGACTGGTAATAATACTTTTATAAAATAATATGCATAGCTGTGTGTCTTTTTTGCGACCTTTATATAAACTGTTAGGTAATACATTAAAATGCTCTAAAGGAAAAAAAACTTGTCGATAGCGAAACTCTTAGACTATAAATTAAGGTGTGTCACCATGAAATTTTAATGTAAGTAATCTATACTTACATACAAAAATATAGAATTTGTTAGTGTCGTCAGTTCCGTCTCACATCTGGCTGTCATCGTTAATTCTGTTACTCATATTGATCGATAATTCTGGCAGGATACAAGCGGTTAAAAGAACTTATTAAATATACATATATAGGTAAAGCAAATATACATGCTGTATTACCTTCAGTTAATTCTGAGCTAGTCAAAATATTGCGCAGAATTTCATTTTATCTATTTACTTTGGAGAATAATAATCACATGATCAATATTATGTATATAATGTAAGGAAAAAGAATAAATATAATATAATTATCTTAAATTTTTTTCCATTAATGCATATCTGCAAAATACAAACATTTAAAATATATTTATTTATTTAAGTATAAATTTATTTAAATATAAATTTTTACATTTAAAATATTTTTAAAAGATATTTATATAAAGTAAAAAATTTTAAACATAATGAATCGAATACTGTAAAAAGTACGGAAAATACGAGAAAACATTTTGGACAACAGTTGTATGGCTTGAAAGGGCCAACAAATAATGATAAAATTAATTTTTGAAAAAAAAAGTTTTCAGTAGTCATATACTATCTCTATCTTTTCAAATGGAATTGAATGATTGTGTGTGTGTGTGTGTGTGTGTGTGTGTATAATTCTTCTAAATATTCTGCATATAAAAATATTTTTTGCCGGATAGTGCTCGATAAGAACTAAAATTATGCGAATGTGACATTATTGGCCATTTGATTTTCAATTTTCTAAATATTTTTTCACCATTTCACAATTTGCAACATTGTCAAAGAAACCTAAATATACAATCGTGCTGACGTACACATTCACGCAAATTGTTTTGGCCGAGCAAGCTCTTTGTCAACCGGCACTTCAGTATATCGAGCTGACAGCATACATGTAATAATAAACCACAAATCAGACTGTCGCACGCAACGTTCACCATAGAGCCAATAGTCGAGCTTATTAATTGACGAGCATATATGATGTAGAATATCACCTCAGATGTGTAGTTATATGGTGTCCACTCTCTGTACGTTAAATTACCTTTCCGAAAATCGGTGAATAATGATGTCAACATTACGCATGCACATGTCGTCTCGACCAAAATTATGTACCATAATGTATTCGTCTTACAAAATAGATAAGCAGTTTGTTTTTCATATTTTTCATTAAACATTTTACATTAAACATTTTTCTTCGCACTACCATTCAATATAAATTAATTACTTTCACCAAATTTTTGAAATATTTTTATACATTATTAAAGAGAGCGAAAATTTTTTATATACTTACTGTATTATTTTGTCGAATTTTTTGCGGAATTCTATTTCGTCAGTCTCTAATGGGATAAATGGTTTTTAAATAAGAATATTGGTTAATTAATCCCTCTATTTTTGTGATTTGTCGAAAGACCGACCATTTTACAACAGGAAATAATTATGGCGAACATAATATAGAAAGTATCTGTAAAATTATCGGTATTGTCGACGTTCAAAGTGACATCCATAAGTTGTGGCAACACGAAGGTAAAATGCAACGATATTACAAAATATTTTATTCATTGTCGCTGTTTGCGACAACTTCAATTTTCGTCTGGCGTTCTCTGCATTTTTTTTCGGTATCTGTATGCATTTTTTATTAAGTATAAATACGGAAAGATAATTCCAATTTATTTATTTCTGCAACGTAAACACGTGACACATTGAATAATATTTGATAGAGATAATAAACAAAATAATTTATTTCTTATTTCCTCCATAGGATTTCTTAACTTTACAATGTATATCTTTTTTAAATAAGTTTATGAAAATTCTGTAAAAAAAATACAATCAAATTCCAATCAGATGATGATATTTACGACATTGATAACTTTGAAATTTTCATATAGATATCGTCTGTAGACGATGTTTTTTCGGTTTACCGATTCTTATTCAATATTCATTATCATTATGTGGAAACGTTGCATTTACTAACAGGATTTTTTTTTTATTTCAGGTTAAGTTCTTAGGGAATCTTTTCTCTGTAGTGTCTTATGCACCAACATAATGCTACTATTTTCATAAAAAACTATTTTCATGAAAAATAAGATATTGAGATAAATGCTGGGTTCCGCTCATAGATTGCTATTGATGATATCTGTCTTCATTTATCTCCAATTTTAATCAAGGTAAATATTATCTGTCTAAATACTCTTAGTTTTTCTATTGTTATCTTAAAATTTTCACCAGAAGTCACGAATATATTAAACTTTTTTACAAATTTTGTTTATTTTAATATTTTACTTTTTAACCATAGTATAAAGAACTAAATACATGGTTCTTCTAACAAGATAAAAATTTCCGTCTATAACATGGAAGTTATATGTGTATACGTATAATTAATATGACAATGAAGTCATATATATATGTGTTCTTATAAATATATGACTTCACGGTTTTGTTAGTATAGAAAAACCCTGTATTTAAATTTTACATAAGTTATATTACATAGTTATAAAATAAAATTATCTCAAAGCAAAACTTATACTCGAATTTAACAGGTCAAGTTGTTTTTTTAATATGATGATTAACTAATGTAGCAACACTTTTGAAACTTAACAAGATGATAAAATTTTTATGACATTAAATCGAAATATTTAACATTATCATACAATTCAAATAATTAGTAAAATCGTTAGGATCATTAACGTTCATTACAAAGGTCATTATTTGCGTAATAATATAAAACATCATATTAACTAATTACATATAATCTGTAAATATTGTAAATTATCAGTTTGAACAAAAGATGTCTCCATAATTGCGGTTGGAAACAGCCAGCGATCATAAAAATTGTACACGTCAATTTTATAATGTGCATAATTAATAAGTATTTGATCAGAAGAAATATATGTATTATATATACATTTATACAATGTGTCTTAATGATTAAGTATAGAACATTTTAACGATTTTAACTACTCTCAAAATGATTTTATTTTGAAAAAATCATTATCACGTTTAAAAATATAAAATATAATTTCAAGAAGATGTATTATGATATTTATAGACATACGACACAATTCTTTGACACGATTTTACTTTCGCTGACGATATTTTCTCTCTTTTTTTCTATACATTTAATATCTGAATCTTCGAAATAAAGTTTTAATAGAACCTCTCTGTTAGGAATAATATCAAACTTGCAATGATTGTCTTTAATATAATATATTTACGTAATTAATAAGATTACGCCTGTAATCAATTTTTATTGCAAAAAATGTACTTCTTTTATTTCTACATCTAGAGAGTGAATAAATTTGTAACACAATAGAAAAGAAATAACGCTTAAAACGTTCATCAATATGATACAAAATATGACTAATCT